TAACCACTTAACATCAGGTGGGCTGTGAGCTCGTCCATCCATCCATTGCTTAGGCAATAAAAATAAAAATAAAACCATATTTTTTCAGAAAGCTGTGTGTGACGTCTGTATTACAATTAATAATTTCGAAAGTTTCATATCAAGGAGGGTGGAGGCAATCGTCATCCAAGTTGTACGGACTCCACCCGCTTAAAACCAGCTAGTCCGTCCGAATAATGCAGTTTTTATATTTATGCATTTTAATAAAGCTAAGAAACTATGCAGCTACGGTGTAAATTAGGTTTGCCGGCAACAAATTCTAGCGTATCCACCGACAATGCCCGCTTAATTACAAATCCCGCGCTCGCCTTACCCACATTTACTCACATCCTAAGAATACAAGTCTCACAATGTTTCAACTTAATTACTCGAGTGAAAATGGAATTTCTCGGAGTGCAAAATGTAGTGCTGAAGATTTCGGAGCAGCGAGAAGACACATTCGAGATCCTCTATTGGATTTTTGGTAATGAAAATAGTTAAGTACTGTTACGCGCTGAGGGTCCGGGATAAATAAAATTTCACCAAAGTACAACTAAAACTGTATTCAACACTTAAACATTTTAAAACACTCAACAAACACTTTAGAACTCTCAATTCGCTTGTTCCGCTTCGCTTCAGGTGATCCTTTCGCTGTTTCGCTTCGAGTTGCGATTACTGACTGACTGCGTGCCATCTCTACAACGCTTTTATAGCTGATACCTCATCCCTAGAATTATCGAGAATGTTCCACACAACTCTAGTCGTAGTTGCCGCTATCTGTAAATAGATGGTGTTGTAATTCTCGAGCATTCTGGATCCTTCGATAATCGTTTCGACTATTTGGCGATAGATGGCGTTACTCTTACCGGCGTAACAGTACTAAGAAAGCCGGTCGCCGTCCTCGTTGAACTTCCGTCACTTGCGACGAAGTACTCGACGAGTAAATTAACCCATAGACACTGAGTTTCTCGCCAGATCTTCTCAGTGGGTCGCGTTTCCGATCCAGTGGTAGATTCTGCAAAGCACTGCTCTTGCTAGGGCCAGAGTTAGCAATACCTCCGGTTCGAGCCCCGTGAGCTCACCTACACGTCAAGGAGAAGCTGAAATAGCCTCTCAAGGCTATCAGCATAGGTAGGAAAAAAAAGCTAAGAAATTAGTGACTGAGTGAGCATTCGAATAAGGTCGTCTCGTTGACCCAGGTCATGGTTTGCCACAGCTCTGTACAGAAAGTCAAAGTGAATCCATCCACCATCCCTGAACAAGAGGTCTGCCCCTGCGGTTTTCGAAGGCTGATGCCGCGAACGATAGAATTAATAAATCACGCCACCCCTAATAACGTCAAAGCAACTTGGAGAAACGCCACGGGGCTATTAGTCGGCAAAGGCCAGTCGAACTCTCGAGAACTTCTTGCATACTCTGAAATTTGTCCCTTAATGCCCGTAGGCTTGGACGATGGCAGAACGCTTCTCTAATTCTAAAGCTCCCTGCGTTAAAAATAATAATTTGTCTCTTTGTTTTATGGATCGATTTCCGATGTTAAAATTAAGGAAAGCACGACGGGCTGATAAATGGCATAAATAAATGTTGCGCGAAAATTTTAAAATACATGTTTTGGTTGTAAGCTGAATTTTTTTTTACCCTGTGATCCTGTTAAGAAGATTAGAACAAAATAATATTATTGTTTTTTTGTCATCGGTTCTTCGTACTGTTGTTTCAAGTCAAACGGACGCTGGAAGATCCTAGATTCCAAAAATAGCTTGTTTAGTTCTATAAATTCGTGTTTATATTTGTTGTTTTGTTTTTTTATTAAATTACAGTCCACAAAATAATTGTTTGTCAAAAAATTTAATTGGAAAAATTCATGTCACGGATACGCGAGCTTCTTTCTCTTAAAGCTTAAGGACCTTGAAGCTACCAGTGAAGTGGGCGTATTACCCGAATAGCTGGAACGGGTCAGTGCAGCCGGCGAAAATGCCCAAGTTATCTGCACATAATAATTTTGGGTCCATCCCGAAACGGCCAATACAAATAAACCTATCCAAGCTTAAACTTATCGATGGGTTTCCTTATAAAATCGAGAGCTTTTTCTCGTCTGAGCTTTTTCCGTCTGAGCTTTTAATATTCGATCGGTCGATCCCGTTTGCTTCATTTCGTACAATATAGGATTTTACGAGCTTTTTTGTTTAGTACTGAAAAGCTATCGAGTTGGATTAGGTGAAGCTTTTTCAGAATATTTTTGATAGAAAAATAAAATAACATTATATTTTACTTTACATGCTTATTTCCAATTGTAGCCTATTTACGATATAATAAAGGTATATAAGGTTTTTTGTTTGTATATTTGCGGCGATCTTTGGAATTTTATATGTATTGTCATGTCACAAGTTCGCATGAGTGCATCTATACCATTCTGCTTGTAGCAAAGAAACTAAGACGAATTCTGATTTCAGTAACTATCATCATCAGTTTCTTTTTTTTTTTATTTCTTTTTTTGCTTATAAGGGTGGACGAGCTCACAGCCCACCTGATGTTAAGTGGTTACTGAAGCCCATAGACATCTACAACGTAAATGCCGTAAACGTAAAAAACGTAGATACGAATGCACCGGACGTCTTATCCTTTAGGCCACGACGATTTCGATTTTATTTTATGAAGGCTATGTTCGTAATTAGATAAGAAATATAAATAAAAATAAAAAAAAACTGCAGACAACGGTGTAATAGTCTGAAGCATCACAAAACGCAAACAACTGTCGTATGTTAAACTGTGTAATAAAAACTTCAGTACTTGTACTGTCATGTACAACTGTCTGACCTTTATGTTGCTTAAAAACTATTTCACTACTATTTTGACAAATTACATGTTTTTTATTCGAGTTTGCGGAGCAGTCTTTGTATACACGAGCTTTTTTTTAAAGTCCTGACCACTCTTTTTATTATTCTAGTTAAGTATGAAGTTAGAACATCGAAGCTCTGCAACGTAAATGCATCACCCATCTTGAGATACAAGTTCTAAGGTCTCAGTATAGTTGCAACGGCTGCCCCACCCTTCAAACCGGAACCCATTACTGCTTCACGGCAGAAACAGGCGGGGTGGTGTTACCTACCCGTGCAGAGTCACAAGAGGTTCTACCACCAGTAAATGATCATATCGCCGCCCTGATGGTGGGTTATTACCGTCACTCATGAACTTCAGCGACATATAAACATCGAAGATACCAGGTACCTTAATCATTAGCTTTCGGAAAATCTCTCGTGAAGTCTCTGCTCACCGAAGCTATTGAAAGCTTCAGACACGGACCCCTCGACCGTTATGCGCGTTTACCTCACTAGGCCGCGGAAGCAGTATTACCTATACTTCCATGACAAATATCAAGGAGATTTATTTCCTTTGATCATAATAAGGTTTTCCGTTTACATATTTTTCTTAAAGAGTTAAGTTCGCAAAGAAAAATATATTACATAAAAAAACCGCTTTTCGCTTTTTGTAACCCTTTGATGTGATTAAGACGCTTCGTTTTTCCCGTTAAGTGTACATTTTAATCCTTTTAAGTTGTTTGCGAGCTTACGCGCTTTAAGCTCTGTTTAATTCGTTACGGAAAATTTAGATTGGCCGTTGGTTAATTAGCTTAAAGGAAGTAATTATGTTGGAAACAGGCATTATATATTTTCATTATGATTGCATTTTCAAATCCACAATATGTCTGTCTATATAAGATAAGATTGACGCACTGGAAATGTGGTGTTGGAGACGTCTCCTCAGAATTCCGTGGACCGCGCACCGTACCAACATTTCGATCCTGAAAGAGCTCAACATCAAGGAGAGACTATCGTCAACAGTCCAATTACGAATCCTCAAGTTCTTCGGGCACATCACTCGTAATGAGGACTCCATTGAGCGGTTGGTGGTGCAAGGGAAAGTCGAGGGCAAAAGATCTCGCGGACGATCTTCAACACGATGGACCGACCTCATAAAATCTGTGACTCACTCCAACATAAATGTTTGCTCTCACTCTGCGAATCATCGTGCCACATGGCGTCGCATCGCGAGAGCATCGGTATCGCAGGATCCGACTGATGCATGACCACGACCACTCTGTCAAGAGTGTACGAATATAAAGAAGAGTCTATCTAGATCAGATGTGCAATAACTCAAATAAGCTGTTGAAAAATCAGTAATTAATACGTACTAAAACTATACGATGACATAATCGAAGCGCGTGTTTGTTCTGCACTGCGTTCTACACTCTTTTAACTTGAAATCTTGCAAGTAATTATTTTAAATATTCTTTAGTGTTTGATTTTTTTAAGGCCTACATTAAAACCACACAGAAATGTACCATAGTTCTATCTGTTTCAGTCGCAAAGCTGTAATGCGTTTCGGTTTGAAGAATGAGGTAGCCATTGTGCTATAGGACTGAGACTTAGAGGGCTCTGGTGAACATTTAACATTGTCGACGTCGTGGCCTAAAAAATAAGACGTCCAGTGCATTCGTATTGAGCGATGCACCGGTGTTCGAATCCCAGCTGGGTACCTAACAATTTTTCTAATGAAATACGTACTCTACAAATGTTCACGATTGACTTCCACGGTGAAGGAATAACATCGAGTAATAAAAATCATACCCGAATTAGCGTAATTACTGGTGGTAGGACCTCTTGTGAGTACCACCACCCTGTCTATTTCTGCCGTGAAGCAGTAATGCGTTTCGGTTTGTAGGGTGGGGCAGCCGTTGTAACTATACTGAGACCTTCGAAGATCGGTGGCGCATCTACGTTGTGGATGTCTATGGGCTCCAGTAACCACTTAACACAAGGTGGGCTGTGAGCTCGTCTACCCGTCTAAGCAATATATATATTTTTTAATTTAGCATGAGTAATACCGTGAGTTCGTTCGCTCATTTTAGCAATAAAAAACGAATGCACAAAAAGTTCAGAGCAATGTTTAATGTTCTCCGAAATTTACAATATCTTTGTCCCCAGATCCGCCTGGAGCGCCTTACATCGAAGGATACGCGGAAGGAGAAACCGTCCGCCGCGGACAGAGCTTGGAGCTGGTCTGCAGAAGCCGTGGGGGTAACCCGCCAGCGCAGCTGATCTGGTACAAGAACGGCGAGCAAATCCGCATGGCCTACAGGTATGTTCATTTGGTCAAACCGTCTATGGGCTGATCACTTAACTGGCATTTTACTGGTTTTAGGAAGTATTGCATGCCCATATGTGTAGTTACTACCACCATTTCGGTTTGAAGAGTAAGGCACCCGTTCTACTATAAGCGTGAAGCTTAGAAACTTATGTCTCAAGATTGATTGAAATCCGAATGGCCTACAGGCATGTTCCTTTGGTCAAACCGTCTGTGGACTGATCACTTAACTGGTGTTAGGAAATATTGTAAGCCCATATGTGCAGTTACTACTACCGTGCCGGTTTGAAGAGTAGGGCACCCGTTTTACTATAAGCGTGAAGCTTAGGAACTTATGTCTCAAGATTGATTGAAATCCGAATGGCCTACAGGTATGCTCCTTTGGTCAAACCGTCTATGGACTGATCACTTAACTGGCATTTTACTGACGTTAGGACGTCTTGTAAGCCCATATGTGCAGTTACTACCACCGTTTGGATTTGAGGATCACCCGTTCTACTATAAGCGTGAAGCTTAGGAACTTATGTCTCAAGATTGATTGAAATCCGAATGGCCTACAGGCATGTTCCTTTGGTCAAACCGTCTATAGACTGATCACTTAACTGGCATTTTACTGGTGTTAGGACGTCTTGTAAGCCCATATGTGTAGTTACTACCACCGTTTTGATTTGAGGATCACCCGTTCTACTATAAACGTGAGGCATAAAAACTCATGTCTCAAGATTGATAGTGGCATTCACGTTGTTGATGTGCATAGGCTCTGTTAACCAATTATAGTTAGGAAGAAATGAGTGAGAGCTAGGTCGACTTTAACAGGCGCTTAGCATCGATGGCCACTTTCGTCAACATTAAAATAGTCTTGTTATGCCTTGGAGGGGAGAGATGCCAATGGTCCACGTGATGGTCAGTGGTTGCCATCGCTAATTGATGTTAGCTATGTTAAGGACAGTCAGGAAGCTCTCATCACACCTCGTTTTACTGGTGGTAGGACCTCTTGTGAGTCCGCGCGGGTAGGTACCACCGCCTTGCCTATTTCTGCCGTGAAGCAGTAATGCGTTTCGGTTTGAAGGGTGGGGCAGCCGTTGTAACTATACTGAGATCTTAGAACTTATATCTCAAGATGGGTGGCGCATTTACGTTGTAGATATCTATGGGCTCCAGTAACCACTTAGCACCAGGTAGGCTGTGAGATCGTTCACCCATTTAAGCCACAAAACAAGTACAGTCTGTCTGTAGCTGAACGCGAACCAAGCCACGGTAAACACCCAGTCTTAAATAAAGCCATTACATCAACTATTTACATTCCGAACACGTGTTGGATACTTGAAAACTCTTTTTCCTTTGAATTTCATCTCCGAGGCGGGATCCCGCGAAACATAATAAATATTTATAATATTCTTGAAATTTTCATTGTATCACGATTGTAACACTGTTTTATTTTATGAAATCGTAGCAATAATCGATAATCTATATATACAGGGTTACAGGTTAAGTCGACCTATTCCCGTTAAGAGCGTGTAGCTTACATCGTTTCTGACTGATTTGACTATGAAACACCCCACCCTAAATCTAACCGATCTGGAGATATTTCAATTTAATTGTTTTTTATAAAAAATACCCGATTTTCGGCTATCAACTTAGATATTTTGAAATGCGTAAGTCTTATTATTATTATTACATGATTTTTACTTGTAAAATAAGATGCTGTATGACCCCAATAACCAATATTGTACGTAAAATGAATAAACAAGTCGTTTTAGACGATTAAAACTTATAAAAACGAATAAAAAATTAGAAAGATTATTTTTCATTCAAGGATATCTTAAAAAAATATTATGGCGCCTGTTTGGCAGATGTGCTTAACAATATCTACGTTTCATCAGCTATCCAACGAGGTATAGCAATCTAAGGTTTTATCAAAAATTTGTCGAAAACACTTAGTTTTATAAGCTACAGGGGAGGCTAAATAAAACAAGTATGTACAAGATACTACATTTATTAAACTTTCAAGTTCCAACAAAACATCCTAAGGTCTAAATTTCATGCTCATTATGTCCGGGACTGTTTTGCACTCATGTTCGCATTATTTTACGAAGTCCAGTTTTATTACACCAGTAATTAATTTCCTTCTCATTTCATTCGCCGCATTAATAATCCTGTCTCTCAATACTTCAATTGATGAAATTGGGTTGGGCTCACTGTACACGAGACTCTTCATGTGTCCCCCTACACATAAAAATCAATGGGGGTTAGGTTCGGTTAGGCCAGGGCCACCTCGTTCAATTCATTTGTTTGGATAATTTGTGTCTAGCTATTCTCTGGCACTTCTCTTGAAATGCGCAAGGCAGCCATCATGCTGAAACCACGTCTTGAATCAGATTGAGTGTCAAATCATCTAATAGGTCATTTAGGTCTCTTCGCAGGAAATGTTCATAGTATACCTCATTTAAATTGTCAGGGAGAAAGTAAGGCCCAATCAAATGATTGGAAATAATTCCCATCCACACATTCAGGCTGTCTCGCTCGCACGCACTGCATTAACATTGAAGGACAATTCGCGAGGGCCTGTTAGAACTGCTACCTGGAGGCTCGCAACTAAATATTTTCTATGATGTTTTATTTAAACCCTAGATTGCTATACCTCGTTGGATAGCTGATGAAACGTAGATATTGTTAAGCACATCTGCCAAACAGGCGCCATAATATTTTTTTAAATTATCCTTGAAAAGAAAGATAAATAGAAGAAAAGAATCAAAAGAAGAAGAAAAATAATCTTTGAAGAAAAATAATCTTTCTAATTTTTTATTCGTTTTTATAAGTTTTAATCGTCTAAAACGACTTGTTTATTCATTTTACGTACAATATTGGTTATTGGGGTCATACAGCATCTTATTTTACAAGTAAAAATCATGTAATAATAATAATACGACTTACGCATTTCAAAATATTTAAGCTGATAGCTGAAAATCGGGTATTTTTTATAAAAAACAATTAAATTGAAATATCTCCAGATCGGTTAGATTTAGGGTGGGGTGTTTCATAGTCAAATCAGTCAGAAACGATGTAAGCTACACGCTCTTAGCGGGAATAGGTCGACTTAACCTGTAACCCTGTATATATATATCGACGTAGGAAAGCATATTTGCTGTAAGTAGACAAAATACCTAAAGTGACTTTTTACTACCATTAGAATCAGAAAAAAAAGCCGCATCGAATGAACCGGGTCCTGTGTCTCTACGATGAAAAAAAAATCATATACGCCGTTGAAAACGCCCGTACTTATATTTTTTTTAACAAAATTAAATGATGTACGTAGACCAAAATCTAGTCATTTTAGACATTTTGTACTTACAGCAAAAGAAAGACTGCATTTTTTGCTTTACAAATACTTACTTCTTCCCATTTAAAAACTTAACGCTACTTACAGCATTTCTGCGGCGCGTGATTTTTACATTCGTTTACTTACAGCAAGTTTAGGGAACCTACAGTTTTAGTTTTTGTTATTTACAGCAAATCATCACGTATTTGCTTTAAAAGCTCACACCACATAATGCATTTTAAAAACCTGTTATTTTTTAGAAATTTGAGATATGCATTTTGATAAATCGTTTATCATTTCATTTTACCATTACGCCATTGAAAAAATGATGGTACTTTGAAGTTGTGTCGGTGTTACCGCATCGCTACCAGCCCCGCCTGCACCTTTCATTCCTTGTACGACATTCTGTTATTGTCTCATTATAAGCGTGGTATTTGATTTGAAACGTTGTATGTGCTGAGTGTGCGTAATAAGTGGATTATTTAGGTTGAACCTGAGTATTTTATCACGCACACGTACTGAAGTTTTCCGAATGATTATTATTAAGTGTCGATAAGTATTTACGTATGGTATCTTAATCGAAACTATCTAATATAAGCAAAGATATATCAAGATATCGATTTACTTGTCCTTCTATAGATTTTTTATGAATATCGTCACACCTGTCCCTGACGGCAGTGACGGAGTAGGCATTTCACCGACGTATTCAGTCACCAATGTGACTGGTGGCAAACCAACCAATATACTACCAGCACAAACCCAATTACGAGCTACAATTGAGGAAGTTTCACAACAGTAAAAACACATATTACACTTTCCCATAGCCGGGAATCGAACCCGGAACCTCATGAGCTCATCAGCAAGGCCAACGAGGGTAAGAAGATATATTTTTATTTTTTATAAACTGCCTTACTTATTTTAGATGGCGAAACCTAGGGAATGGATGAATGGATTGAGATCTCTTCAAGAAGACATTGTTGAAGAGCATTCAAGAAATAAACCTAAAATACAAATATTAAGCAACTTTAACTATATAAGGCAATCTAAAGCCTTCGAAATTGAACAACAAAAAAATAAAAACACAGACCGATGAATCTTTTTTTTATGATAGAAAGATTACTGGTGACCCGGAGGCCTTTCCAGCTTCACCAAGATAGGTGGGCGAGCAAAGGCTCAGCCAGGAGGGGTGGAATTTGCTAACAGCTGCCCGAGCGCCACCGAAGGAGACCTAACAACTCAAGAGCAATTGCGCGAATGAATCTACTACCGGATCGGAATCGCGACCCGCTGAGAAGATCCGGCGAGAAACTCAGCGGGCTGATGCATGGGTTAGGTTGCACGTCGACCTCTTTGTCGAGTTCGACGAGTACGGTTACCGGGGTCTCTAAGCCTGCTCCTAGTGTTAGACCTAAAGGCGTCTAATGCAATGGTTATTGGATCTGATAGATCCGTAAGGACGTGTCTAGGGCGTCGACGGTGACTGACTCCTGCACGATCAGGATTCGGGGAGTAGTCAGCGGCGGCAACGATAAGGCGATTATCATGACGCATAGCCTTATCGAAGTACCATTCCGACGCTGACTTTGTGTATTTCCGGATTGATTCGAGATCCAGGTCATCGTGTAGGTCAACGTTCCTCACGAACCACGGAGCCAAGACGGCTAACCTGCAAAAG